AAGAGACCACTGCCGAGTGCGGTGTGTCTACATTTTGCCGATTTGGACAACAGATCGGATCGGATCGGGTTCACATCATCTACCTTATTCCCGCATATACTTTTATTCTATTGCTCAACAAATCCCATTCCAATTCGATATTATTCATCTCATTGCCGTCATCGTGCCGTCATCACGATGTTACCATAGCTTGCCATTATTGCCGTTTATTTCAATTTAGTGCTTGTTATTTGTACGAGATGTTTTTCACTATTCAAACTATTTAAGCTCATCTATTTTTCGAATCAAATGGCGTACATTTGAAATTAATCAGTTTTATTGGTTTGAATGTAATTAAACGATTTCAATTAATTTGATGAATTGCCGATGTTTATCAGGTGTAGTAGTTCTTCAAAATCGAATATTCAGTTAATTTAAATTTTGGTTTGTGAATTTACGAACTTGGACCATTGGATTTATGTTCATTTTTTTATCTGCTCATTCTTGATTACTCTCATCGATACACGAATATCTAAAAGTCAAATGGAATTTTTGATCGTCGGAAAGTGAGAAATGATTCAACCGCCCAACGATAACCGATTGATTAACAATATACGTAGGTATACATCTTTGACCTTTGTTATTATCTGACTAATGGGCGTGCGATTCCGAAACAAACTTCAATGCTTAACCTGTTCTTTGTATAAATGAATCGGTTGATTTTACTTCATTAACGTCAAAAGCAAAGACTCTTCAAATCACACACACACACACACGCACACGCACACATTTATGACATTCATGCAACTGACTCAAGCTCAAATTAAAATGATGGTTTAAGAAAAGAAGCACATAAAACGCCTAACAAAACAAGCTTTTCGTGTAAATATTGTTATTATTATTTTTACTCTTGCTGTTGTTATCGTCGTCGTCCCTGTCGTCACCAGAAAATATATATCAGAAAGAGTATGTGTGGATCAGACACATTTTCCTTGATAATTAGTTCACTAATTATCTGCTTTTTTCTGCTTCTTCATTGAAGTGTAAGAAGCCCAGTATAAAACCTTTCAGAATAAATTGGAATCGTCATGTGAACGAAAAAAAAGAGCGAAAAAAAAGAATCTTAATAGAAAAAAAAAATAGAGAAAAAAACTAATCACAACGAATTTTATTTTGTTTGTTGTGCCACATCTTCAAAGGGGCGAAATGGAACAATGCACTGAAGGAAATCATCCGGAAGTTTACTACAACATTTTAAGTGGAGTTAAATCCGTGGAAGAGAATCAGTTGAGTAGCTTTACAACTTAGGAGAGGGCACTTGTAGAATCAACATTCCATTTCAAAGCTCAATGCTAATGTTAACGTTTAAATTGAAAATTTTATAAGAAAAGAAAAACGAGCGCGTTTATCTTCCATCAATTTGATTTTCGATGATAATTGGCTGCTCTTCAGGAAAATGTTCACTGGTCGCGTCGTCTTTTACACAAAAATGGTTCACTCAGCTTTTTTACCATCCATTTTTGCAAAAGGAACAGAATTATTTTACGAAAAACATTAAATGCTAGTATCTATTAGATACTCATCTCACAAACATACCGAAAAATTAATTATAGTGCATGGACAAAATTCCAGGAATTCCATTCAGTCAACAAAGTGATGGAAAGTAATTTATTGCTTTGGACTTCTCTAAAGTGGTGAGATGCACAGTTTTATCGATCTATCTATCATTTTGCAACCTTTAATTATTTGAATCACAACATTTGCACTCTCTCTCCCTCGCTTGCTCTATCGCTTGCTCGCTAATTCACTCTATTAATCTTCTGCACAATACTGCACAATATTTACAAACAACATCAAATAAAGCACCATGTAAAACTCGCGTTTAGCTATTCAACCAAATATAATGGCCGTCGACCAGTTGCCTATTGATTAAATTTCATCAAAATGAGATGAAACATTTGATAAATTTATTACACATAAAACACTACTAAAACTATTCAAACAGTTTAGCACATATGGAAATGCAGCATTCCAAATGCGGTTATCGTTAGACTTTTAAATTTAGCGGTTCAATAAGGGTATACAATGTAATTTGCACACCGTATGTTTTTATTAAATTCAACAATTTCTTTACCTGCTATTAGTATTGTTGTGCCGTTCATTTCTCTCGATAGCCATGCATGCCTATCGTACGAACGAATCAGGCTAATTTTATTACAACGAAAAGACCGACATTTTTTCGGGTAGTTTTCAAGTTTCGCACTATTTTCCGAAATATTTCACCGGATGAATGCAACGAAGTTTCATAAAAGGCGCTCAGGTAAAAGAAAAGGGATAGATTTTGGCATACTATAATGGCAGCAGTAACAACAACAAAAATTACGACAATAATAATGATAGCATAATAACGTAATAATAATAATAATAACAACAACGGTAGCATGGTAAATGGTATTTTACTATGTGTGCATATATTGCCTGACGCAATTGTTTTCATCATATTATCGACCTGATTTTGTTTGGCAAACATTTAATTAAATTGATTTAATTAGCGGTTTTAAAATGGAATAGTTTATAACTGTAGGCTTGGTAAACGCATGTTAAATGCGCCTCACTGATTTTATGTGCCTTAATCGTATCAAAAACCGTTTCACAAAACCACATGGCATTATCGTTGTAATTAAAACATTTCTTTCTCTTCTTCCTTCGCATCAATGAAATAGTGAAGTCATCGCTCATGCAACCCATTCCTTAAATTCGCATTATTTTTGTTGTTATTTTTTCGACTTAAAATGGGTAGCGAGCAAGAATGGAGAATGTGCCGAAAAAGGACGATTGTTGTTTTCCTTCATTATGATAAAGATATAATTCGTACTCTATGCACCCCAAAAACTCTTTTCAAGGATGAATTAGCGTCGAATGTGTGGCTGTGGTAGGCCATTTAAAAGAAATATGCCAGGCCTTTTGAGCAAATCATAAGTTCAACCGTTTATTTGAATTAACGAATAAAACCGTTGTTCATGACATTAAGTTTTCGATTTAACGTCAAAAGATTGCCATTTCCTGAACCATGATGATTTTAAGACTTACCTCTCTATAATGACAATAAATGATAGTGAAATCAGCCCATATGCTTGAACCACTCAAATTTATGAAGAATACTTCGTCTTAATGGGTGTTAGTCAGCGCCTGGGGACACATGTATACCATATTATGTGCACTGTGTACGACTGTGTGTACGACGTACGTGCGACCAACTATAAAATATGAAAATAAACTTACGCCAAAATTTATGATCGTCCCAAAAATTTGGACACTATGCACTTTATGGGAGCATTTTTCTGTAATTCTTGCACATAATTAATGCTTTTATACACATGGTAGTGCGGTAAAATGTGATCGATATTTTCGTAAGAGAATTTAAATGAAGAAATTTATCACATAAATTTTCGGTAAGTTTTCTTCAATTCCGACAATATTAATTATAGCATTAAAATTGCTCGGTTGGATTCAAGTTTCTAACTATAAATCTTCATAAAAGAAAACAAGCAAAACATAATGTTTGGTATTATAGAATACACTGCCAGTTTTTGGCCGTAGAGCTTAATGTGAAACGTGGAACCGTACTACTAAGAAAAACAAACTACTCGACATTCATATTTTGAATTTTTTGCTACAATTTTTTTAAAATAAATTACACCTTGAAAATTGATTTTGCCAATATTTTCCTCATATTGCCTCAACGACTACCTATGCGCTCCCACTTCAAAAAGTTAGTAAATCCTATAAATTATATAGATGGTTTTCTTAAAAGCTGCGCTGATGATCCATAAATGGTGAAATCGTTCAATTCAATTACTGAAATGAGAACGTCCAGAACTACCTAATAAATGCATCACATGGATTTCGTTTTTCTCTAAGGTTTTTGTCAATGCCATAATTAAATTGAAATTCCAAAACTCTTCACAAGTTTGATTGGCTAATAAGCTATATAGCGTTAGAAAGAGGACTTTGGGAGCTATCATCTGGCGAAATTTAATCAAAATCATAGAACTAGGTTGCTTGCAATGAAGCTCGAAAATGTATTTACCTATATTTTTCTCATTTTGGCTATATTGCCACCTATGGAGTTGAGCTTCAAAAAGGCAGTACACCCCATAAACTACTCTCAGAAAACTCAGATGTTAAAATTCAAAGTAATCAGAGGAAAATGCCGCAATAAATTTCCCCTTGAAAATTGATTTTGCAAATATTTTCACTAATTTCAAATTAGTAGATTCTACGGCCACCTGGGAAACACATCCACAAGTTCGATTGGCTAATAAGCTATATACCGTTGGAAAGAGGGTTCCAAGAGCTATCATCTGGCAAAGTTTCATCAAAATCATAGAACTAGGTTGCTTGCAATAAGATTCGGAAGCCGATTTTTCTCACAATTTTTCATATTTCGGCCAAACAGCCAGCGTAAAACGCCATCAAACCTGCCGGAAACTCCATAATTTATGTACCATTCGAAAGGTAATTTTATAAGGAATCTAAAACAATTTGGTACCGCGGGTGTCTCCAACTTTTTTTCAACAAGTTTCATCTAGATCCAAAGTAATCAAATTAACACTGAAGTAAAACTCATTTATTCCATTTTTTATCCAACCAATGAAGTTACGGATAAACGTCAATCCACCCGAATCCATTCGTTATCCACTCAATAAATGGTGAGTGGAATCGAAATATTTTTCAAAGTGGAATCCAAAAAAGAGGGTCCATGAATGAAAAAATTAAATGGGGAGCACTTATGGGGAAAATAAAAAATACGTCTGGAGGGTTTTTCATGTCCTATCGAATGCCGAAAACCCGAACTCTCTATCTTTTCTGGTTTTCTCCAAAATCACTGAACAAACATATATATATATATATATCTTACTATTCCATAGCTTAATGTATAAAACTACGTTTCACATTAAGCAATATTTAATTCTAAAAAAAAACTCTCTTTTATCGATAAACAGAATAAAACGCTTCCATTTAACACATTTCACAAGAATATACAGTTTTTCGTTCGAATCGATTCAGTTGTTGATACAATGGTAATTTTAATTTAGTTTTTTTTAATTATTACAGCTAGTTATGTTGAAAATCAAACGGCATTGAGGTCGAAATGTAAATCGGTTAATATAGTCCAAATATCTGCTTCAGTTCGCCTTTTTATGGACGCAAAAAATAAAATCACTATTCACATCTATAAGTCCGTAATCAGAATTTCATTATTTCATGAGATTTTCTACTATGGCTGACAGTAATGGTTTTTTTTGTTTGTTATCATTTTCGAAAATTTCGCATAAATTAGATGAGTTATCATAGTTGAAACTCACATCGCTATGATTTTGAATTTTACAAATGTTCTTTCTTTCGTAAAATAGTCTATTCCATGTTTAGTTTTTCTAACAATTCCACTTTCCATCTGAATAGGCAGACACGTGCACGATCGTAAATATTTCCGGGCGAATCCAATGCGGGTCGAACATCCAACAAAGCAAATTTGTAATTTTCGTCAGTGGCACCACCGTCATAGTAATCGATGATGTAACGCACATCTTTGCCGCACCGATCAACAATCCAATCATGACGATCAAATGGCAAGTCATATCTAACAATTTCAAAAAAAAAAAGAATCACATATTGTAAACAAGAGAGAAAAAAATTCGGATATAATAATACGACATACCCCATCCAATGACGGATTTTCGCACGTGGACTAAAATCTTTGGCTTTGCCACCGAAACTCTTCAATCGTGGATTGCCACACTCTTTGGCATGTAATGCCTCCCATTTAAGCACCTCTTGCCAGGCTTGTTCATTGTTTGCATTGTGTATTTTAATGATGTTATCCATATCATTTGGTTTCAAATCGTCTTTTTTCCATTGCCATCCTTTGCGCAACATTGCATTCCAGAACATTTGCTGACTTGGATACACCCAAAATTCTTTGGTATTATTTTCAGTTGCCTTTGGTATTGATGATACTTGTCGATCTGTTGGCAATGGAAATGGTTGATCTGGTGCTGGATTTTGATTGGCTGGCGGCATCTTTAAAACAAATCAATTTATTTAAAATATAGACACAAATTTCGTATGCAGTCAATGACAACATACACCAAAGATCACATACCATGTTATATGGATTGATATCGTCATTGTTATGTATTACTGGGCATTCATTAGCTGATGGTTGAGCTGGCTTTTGATGCATTGGACATTCCGGTGGTGGTGTGCCAGATTTCATATCAAATTTACTATGGTCAGGTGATACCGATTTATTTTTTGGATGTGTAATTCCTGCGGCAACTGCCTCAGCCGCTGACACTGTATTTCCCATCTGAAAAAGGAAAGAAATAACATTGAACAACAATTAGTATCACACAGTAAAAAAGTATACTCTTTGTTATGTAATGAAATCGGTAAATTCTATTATTTTCACACAAAGTAACCACATTTTTGATAAAATAATTGGAATTTAAATGAATTCTCATTCAAAATAACGACGAAAAAATAATTACATTTTGTCTTTTTGTCTTTTGCGTTATTCAAAATGATATCGATTTATTGGTGCCAAGTTATGTTGTGAAATAAATATTTTGAGGTTAAGAGCACAGCATGTATTACATCAATGTCAAATGATTATGTGCGCTCTGCAAAGCTTTTGAAACTTTCTGTTTGACAGATGAATTTCAAGGAGTGGAGACGCCATCATTTGTCGTTCGCCTTTTTTTTCTTCAAATTTATCGATTCCTTATACATAAAAAGAAATAACATTCAAACATGTATAGCAGTGCATGCAATTTTCTATGTATTGAGAGGCAAGAAAAAAATCAAACACATTCTGTGAATCATTTGGATTATCAAATTCATTGGCCGACGAAACCGCCTTATCTTAATCGTTTCCGTCTTAATTTAGCTAGAAATTTTGTTTTTAATTTTTTTTTTTTCACATTATTTGTCAACGAGACGTGAAATCTGTAATTTTCCATCGAGAAATTAATGACAAAAGAAAAACTATAATACAAAGAAAAATCTATGAAAATGGTCCCCACAAATTTGAAGAGTAAACAAAAAATAGTGTTGAGAATTTGGGAGAGTAAATAAGTGTTTCGAGCATACTTGTTTCGTCATCCAATGTGATTGAGTAAATTATAAGAGACTGTAATCAAGTTGGCGAATGGCCATGCGGAAAAAAATCGCGCTGAATAACGTGTTATTCGACGTGTATTTAGCACGTGTTAATTAATGTGTTAAGGAAGGAACGAAAAGATTATTTCTGTTTTTCTATTCGTTATTCAATGAAAAGCTTCTTAGCTGACATAAAACATTGAGAAGCGCGCACACCTACGGAAATTTGCGTTATGTTTCGCTTTTTGTCCGAGAACGTGTGGCAAAAAACGTGCTCTCGACTTGAAAATCAATTCGTGTCAATTTTGGCAGCGCACAATTAAGCACATTTAACAACGCCAAGTAACCGTGCTTTGCATACTTACAGCAAAGTATTCGATGGCTTATGTTGGCTAAGAATGAAATTTGAAATGAGACGATAAATAGCAACACAAGTCAATGATTTGGCTACAAAACATTATACGGTTTACGTTCTTGTTTGAACCATTTTTTTATATGCGCTGTATCATTTGAATCCAAAATTATAGTTATTAACTTTTACTGATTTTTACACGTTTGTTTTGATATCTAATCTGGTTTTGATTCAACAAGTAGTTATTCATTGTCTGCCATGGCAGACAACCATGAAAAATGAAAATCGATTTGCATACACAAACTGACAAAATTAAATTTCGACTTCAATGGAGAGAGGCGTAAAACATTTTGTCATATTTTCACATTTTGCTTGCTGTCTTAGCACTTAGCGCCATATAAAAACCATATACAAAAAACAATTAGAATTTTCGAACACTCATAAAATATTTGAAACATGTTTTCTTTTAAATCTCTTCCTCTCTGCTTTTCTCGTCATTCAACTCAAGTGCAATAAATTTTTTTCCTCCCATAAACCGCTTTTATCTAGTGCTATTTACAAAATTACGAACAAAATATTATGCACCATGATTTTATCATTTGTCTTCCATTCAAATCGTCAACAGACAATTCTCTGTGCAAAGATTGTAGAATGTTGACATAACGTTTGTTGACGTGTTCATTACGTTCAAATAGTCATAAACATAAATAAACATAATTTGAAAATTAATTACAAATAAAAATCTTACATAATTTGTTGGCAGACTTTTATGTGTTCTAAATTTTGTTTGTTGCATTTGAATTTGCAAAGAAAACGAAACTCAAACAATCAAAAGAGGCAAAAAGTTTGAAATGAGAGCGATTTTTTTGGAGAATTTCATGTTGCAGTATTATTTGGAGAAAAATAAGAGCTAATCTTTCGCCGCAACGATTCATATGTGGATTCAAACATTTTTTTATAACGTCTTTCTGGTTCTGGCATAATTTAAGAAAAAAAAAAAACAATTGTTCATCGATGCTTTACGCTTTTATTTTTGACGCTTGACAGAATCGACTGTGAAAATATCGTACAGTTGCCGCGAGCAATGGAAAATGCACAATTTTGATATGTGAACAATTTAAATTATTATATGTTATTGCGATGGAATTTTTATTTCAGGAATATATTTTAATGATATACAAAAGTAAATGCGCACATTAAAAACACATGTACAGCCACACATGTCTTAGCCAACGAACTAACGAATGAGCAAGAGAAACAGCGACACAGAATATCAGAAGGAGAAGGAGAGATTAGGAGAGAAAAAAGAAGTGAATTATTGAAAGTCGCGCACGTGACTGGAAAATCAGACAAGCTAACCCAATCACGTGACGCATGACGTCAAATTTCACGATTACAATCTGTTCCTCTCACAATATACATGAATATTCGAATAGCTCCCAAATGGAGCCACATTTCCATTACAAGCATTCCTCTCTTTCTCGCTCATTCGTTTTTGACTCTACATTGAATATGTATAAAATAAATTTAACATTATTGATTGTTTGAAATAAATAAAACGAAAAGAACCGGTTGATTGGTCGCATTTAGCGTCAATTATCGGTTCGAATGCTCTATTTGCAGTTATCAAAATTCAAAGTGAACATTTATATTTACATTGTTTGAAACATTGTCAATGTTTGCCCTCTCGAAACCAGAGAAATTGAGACAGAAACAAAGAAAATGATAGATGAAGCGAGAGAGAGATAGAGAGGAAAAAAATAAAATAAGTAAAACAGGAACAATATTGCCAACCAAAAAGTTGATACTACTATATTATAAGTCGTAACCACTTTCAATGTGAATATTATCGAAGGTTTTGTATATGTGGTGTGTGTGATAACTGCAAATAAAATCAAAAAACAAACGATGTAAATCAGTCTATGATTGTATGCGTTCATATTAATCATCATGTCATGGCACACAGTAAGGCAAAAGCCTTGCATATTACACCCGAAATGAAATCGAAACAAGATAAAACAGAATCAAAATATATCGTTTTGCCTTAATATTTTTTCTTGTCATGCCATTTAAATATACATATGAAGACTCTCGTGATCTCCACTAATTGAAAGCGTACATTTGATAGGAATCTCGCCAAAAATTCAAACATTAGCACGTTTTTTTATGATATCGGCAAAACTGTACATACATTTAACGTAATAAACTTACGTCAACCATAAGTAACAACAACAGCAGACAGTCGAGTTGGTATGAAAAAAAAAACTGAATAATTCGGTCAAACAAACACTTTTTTCTGAATTCATCGTTGGCTTTCGGTGAGACACTGAAATTTTCCAAAGGAATCGCATAGCGTCATCGACTGCGAAAGGAAAATGGCAAAAAAGATATAGAGTGAAAGGGACGAAATATCGGTGGTACTTAGATTTTTATTGCTGTTGTTTCTTGGTTCAGCTGAACCAATGGCATACATACTTGAATTTGACAATTTTTATAATAAATTGGTGTGCTCCTTATCAAACGTGTCCATATGGGTCCGTATGCCGCGGCGATTGGTTTCAACACACCCAATGCTATATGTCATAGCACTCATTCATGCTCTGTTGTTTTTGCCGTGCGTGTTTATTTTCAAAAATAGATTGTGTCCATGTTTATTGAGCAGCACGATGACGTTATTATCTATCTGTTTGAATGTGCAAACACATTCATGATTGTGTCGGCAATACTTAGACTTATCGGTCGGTTCGGCCATTGATACAGTTCGGCATACGGCGAATGAGTCGAACTAACCCATCAGCCGATTGTTCGGCGCTCTGATTTATTCACAACTACAACGGTGCGTACAACGATACATCGTATCATCGCATATCAGTGCAATGTATATACACCACCAGACCAATGTAGCAATAGATGTATAGCAAAAGCGAGAGCGCGGAAAAGAGAAAAAGCGAGCGTGTGTGTTTGTGTGCTAGCAAACGAGTCGATACACAGTACACACAGCATAGCACTCCAAGTGCTTGCCGACACTGTGGGCGATATTCATACACATAGGAATGAAAAACAGCGGTACACACAGTGTTTTCAATGTGCTTTTAGCATATACACACAACGACATGGCAAATATTTTCATTTAATGTGTCAGATTTATTTTTATTGTTGTGTATATATATTCAATATCATCACAGTCGTGGTCGTCGTCATTGTCGCTTACATTTATTTCATATATCCGTTCACATTTAGTACTCCGCACATCGTTGTCTAAGACAGTTAATAGTCGTTTATTAAACGAGAGCTCTGTGGCTATTTGAGTCGGATTTTCTACTGGTATAATAGTTCCAAATTAGAAATACTGATACCGATAATTTGTTCCAATTGAAAAATTCCAATTTGGTGGAATTTTTATATTTTTTTTTTCGTTCGTTTATTCGTTCGTCTTCGTCGCATACGTCATTGAAACTGAAATTTTACGGCGAAAACAGCTGTTTCGTTGTTTTTTCTCATTCTTACCGAATCCATTCATAAGAAGCGAGCAGTGGAACGAGAGCAAAATATCAGCACAACGAATCAACGAGAGTTAAGAACAGTGCAGCGAGAAAGAGAGAGATATACACACAAAACTAAAGAAGAAGAAGAAAAAAATCGCATCGACGGAAAGGAATAAGAAATCAATCGGAAAATCAAGCCACATACTTGAAATTCAACTGTCACACAAAAGTCAATTGATTTGATTTTCTGTCTCAACCATTTTTTTTCGATCCGTTAACAATATATAGACGTTTCGTTTTCTGTAATTCATTGTTGTTGTCATCATCAGTCGCTTGAATTTCATCAGACAACATAACATCAATGTGTTGATTTGCCATAGACCAAGATAGCTGTTTTACTAGTGGCAGTCGCATATGGTTTAGTAACTATTCCGATTATAACTGTTATTTATCAGTCAGTATTGCTTTACTCTCTCTCTCTCTCTTTCTCCCGATCTGAGCGATACAAATAAGCGAACACAGGAACTTACTTTGTTTCATTCATTCCGTCGTTTGCTTCGTCCGTTCATACATTCGGTTATTAATTTGTTGTTTGCCTCTTATACACGTTTTGCATTTAATTCAGTGTGTGTCACTCGAATATTGTTCCACGTTTGTGTGTGCATTACATTTGAAATTACAATCGCATTGCATCGCATTAACAACATCGAGACAACAAAAAGAACCGAAATAACTGCACTTAGCCAGCAAATGGAAACAACACAATAATTGCCGATCTTAATCAACAACAATTCAATCCAATTTCATTCGTGGTACTTCAGATAAGTGTAATTTCTTTGTGTCTACAGTCGCAGTAAGTGCTTGGCCATAAAATCAAGTGAAAAAGTTAAATCCACCGAATAAATATTACTATTATTGAATCGAAACCAGAAGTCTGTGCAATAAAATTCTATATTGAGCAAACAATTTGAAACGAAAAACAAAAACCAATGTGATTTAATATTTTTGTAAATAACTTGAAGATTCAGATTCATATTTCAAAGGAAATCAAATCAAATAGCGACAGTTTATAAGCCGATGATCCAAGTTACCGGTCTTATGTACAAAAATACAATCCCATGTAAAATAATAACAAATCATCGTCAAAACAGTTGAATAAAATAAAATCAGTGTCATTCAATCGAAAAGGCTGGAACATTTTCTAAAAATAAAAATAATAGTCAATTCAATCAGGCCATTGTGTAAATTGATTTCAACAATTCAAAAATAAGTGCAAAATAAAAGTGCGTATATATCAGATAACTTCAAGAGACAAATAATGTTTAAATTTTTTGCGAATTCATCCACAAAATACATAATAAAATAACATTTAAATTGATCGATCAAGTGATATATTAAAGAGCAAGACAAACAAAAATATTTGGGGAAAACAGCAGCAAAAATAACAATTCCGAAAGAAATTTTATCGATTTGACGGTGTGTCCGGAAATTCAGTTTGCATTGCGATTATCAATTACTTCGTTACTAGACAGTTCGATCCAAATTGAACTGGGTGTGTTTGTTGGGAAATTGGTAGCAGCGAGTGAAACAGTGGTATTTCTATTTTTTTGATTTACTTGAAAACTTTAGTGAATTTAATGTGTAAGCCACAAGTGTTTTATTACAAAAATTGTGTTGTGTTATTTTATCGAAAACCTCGTTACACACATTATTGTTCCGTTTGGAATATCTTATTGGGTACAGTTTATCAAACGTGCAAAATTTGAAGTATTCGCGATTTGGTGCGCTTCACACTTAGCAACGAAAATCTATATATTTCGTTTCAGTTGTTTCAATTTTCGTTCCATTCAAATTTTCGAACCACCACCACCACAACAACAACAACAACAACCAGAAAAAGAAGAAGAAGAAATTAATAAAACCGAACAAAAAAAGAAAGAAGAGAGACATAGTCGAACGAAGTGGAGAGTGGAAAGTGTTTATTTTTTTGCGGTGCGAATGATAGATATTTTCATATTGTTGTTGTTCATATTAATTAATTTGTGCATGTGGGTGAGTGAGAAGAGGACGGCATATAAAATAAACAACAAAATTTTAAAAAGCAAACTAGCACACAGTCAGATAGAACGTGCGAGAAAGTCGTTTAGAATAAAATCGATTTATAACATTTCACCTGCACATCATTTGCGTACGAATTCATTTTTTTTATTCTGGATTATTTGCTGGTCATATTAAATAATATTTGGTGTATAAATAAATTATATATATATATATATATAATTCGAAACGGCATCGTATCGTTCAATTACATACATCACACATCCATCTCCGAGTGTATTCAATTAGACTATACAAGTATATATTTATATACCTACCTATCTCAATTCGAGTCAACAGCAATCGCATTTCGAAAAGTTCAACATTTTATTTATCGAACTCGCACGGAATCGATAGCAACAAAGCAGCCAAACAACCAAGTGCGAGAAGAGAGAAGAAGAAAAAAAAACCACACACAACAGGATACCATAAACAACAGTCAGCAGCAAATCCAGAATTCAAACGTGTCTAGTTTGCTGTTACGCCATCACAATATATCTATCTATAAGAGAGACCTTCAGACATTCAGCGACTTGTTGAGCTTGCGTCAATTGCTCACCCCATACACATATCGTCGAGCAGAAAGCAGCACGGCTCTATTCTTTTATTTGCTTCCAAACGTCTTGTGTGCGCTCCCCATTGCCGTGTAAAGGAAGAGAGAAAAAAAAACTAAACGAACATTCAACATTCCGTTTCATCGCATATCGAAGCGAGAAGCACAGCAGAGAAGTGTTCGACGTCCCGTCGAAAGTGATTTTCAGTTCCTTTGGAGAGCATCATTAGCAGTAGCAGCCGCCACCGCCACCGACACCGCCATGGAACCAATGTGGGAACAAAACAATCATATCGCGCATCAAGTCAAGTACGAGAGGTGAGTTAGTTCCATTTTTGTCAATCAAAAATCATGTCGTCGCAACCTATGTACCGTTTTTTTTTCGCAAAACAGCTTTGCATCCCATCCCATATCCTCAATGAAAATGTTGAACACTCTTGAGACATGCTTCAACATTTCTTCGAAAAATATAAATAAATGCAGGGTAACCGAAACTTATTCACATTCATTCAAAAATCAGTGCCCCCTTTGCATATAATTTCTATTATCAGCAATGTTTATAACTAAATAAAATAACGCCAGCCACAAAAAATTATTATTTTTTTCGAAATACATATACGCACAGATATAATGCACGAAAAAAAAAAAACGAACAAAAGTTAAAAGCACGAAATATATTCCGAGAGTGAAACCAGTTTTGAGTTGTTTTTCCGTCACACAATCACACAATCATTACTTCATTTTCACTTGTTGTTCCTCATTGCTTTTCTACGTAAATATGATTATTATAGAAACATGTGAAGAATTGTGAACCGGGCAGTATATACGTGAGCAGCAAATAACGAAGAGAAAAAAATAAAGAAACAAATGAGCCGTCATAAAACTGCTGTACGATCTTACTGTTAAGGACGTGACTTCGATTAAAATATAGCAAGAAATTAAAAAAAAACGCGCACACACACACACATAAAATACGGACACACAGCTTATAATTCCGTTTGTTTGAAACGGTTGTCCACTTGATTCGTTTTTTTCCTCTCCTCTTATGTCTCTTATGTGGGGTTTACCGAACACCAGGAGAATTTTTATTTAATCACAGTTATGAAAAGGGGAATTTATGGCGAATCGACAAAAAGCTCGCTGACGATTTCAGTTATTTTCGATAGAACGTAACAAAAATGGCTCAAGATTTCTACATACTAAAACAACAACCAATTTTATTTTTTTTAAATACTGTTTATCAGTACTCTGAGCAAATATTTTCATTTCGGTCGAAAAAATTGCTTCATCATAATGAAATCGTTATTTTACTTACAAAAATAGAAGAAGCGGAAAAAAAACATGTGTATCAAAACACGAACAACTTAAAATTATTTCTATTTCAGATGTGCCATTTCAACAGTTTCGTAATCACTTCTCAATAAATTCAAATGCCATCACGTGATCGATTAGCATGAAGTTCACTTTAGCGATAAGAAATGTAGCGAGTGCAATTTCCATAGTTGAATGTAAAACAACGAACGAAAAAAATCAATTTGGTTGCGTGGTTTTTTTTTGCGATTATTTTGATAAATTTAACCAAAGTCTATGTGCTCGATATACTTTTACAAACGTAATCAACATTTTTTTCGCCTTAATTTAATAAAAAAATACACACACACCAAATGTGACGCTGGCAAATAAAGATGAGAAAAAACAAAAGGTTCATATAATGATTTGAATTTTAATTAAAATGATTTAAAAAGTTGCTTTAAATTCGTGAAAATTTGATCAACAAGTTTAAAATACAATTGACGTATTGTGGCATATTTTGATTGCAGTATTTTTTTTCGTTCAATTATATTCTTGAACTTCTGTGGGCTCACAGTTGTGTTTGGCGCTTTATTGTGTGTGTGTGTGTGTGTGTGTGTGTTCATTTCCACAAATTATCGCCAGGGCTTCTGAAACAATTTTCATTCAATTATCAATGTACTTTATGTATATTGTATATAAATATATAAACAACTGCAACATAATGAACATTCGAAACGAAACGAAATATAAAACTCATCGACAAATACGTGTCTAAAAATAGAGTTGCGCTTCAAGTCCGAGCTCACCACGATGAAATACAAATAATATTCCATTTAAACTTTAAGTATAAAAGTGTATATTTTTATACACTTCAATTCAGACAGACCTTAATAATATTTATTCACGGTTCGAAACGTGTGTGAGTGTGTAGATATGTAAGCGATTTCGAAAAATGATAAATTTGAATTTTAACAACGAGAAGCAAGTTATGTGACAAGAACTCGTCTTGATGAAATTTGCGTATGTTCGCCAATAAGTGTGAGATAAATCTCGTTTTATCTAGTCATCTAATTAAAGACTTGAATAGAAACACATACACACTCAAAGACACAGAATGTGTGCATACATTCTGCATGCAGCGTGAAAGAGACAGAAAAATAAAGAAGCAAGAAAAAAAGATAAAAATATGCGGCAAGTTTGAAAATCATTTTGTTACCAAATGACACTTTTTGAAAAGCTGTTTAACATATTGCTTTGATTGTAATCAATAGACCTGATAACACAATCAGCTACACTCGACAATAGTTTTACATTATCACAGTTATCCATGGTGATGTTGAATTCCTTCATTCGACTTTTTTTTTTGTTGATATATGCATCGCATAAGATCACACTATAATAACTCGAAATATTCATAGCAATAACGGCAATTTAAATCACGTGAATTTGGAGAGTGATTATCTCGTTACAAACAGGATTCCATTTTCGCATTCGACCAGAAATGAAGTGTAAATTGTGCGTTTGTCAATGGAAGTCTAAACAAACGTCACGCCAAAGAGATTGAAAAGATGAAAGAGAGAGAGAGAGAGAGAGAGAGAGAGATGAAGAAAAAAAACACAACAACAAGGAGAAACCGATAAATAACAAGAACAAGCTAAAAGAAATGTGTTTGAAATCATGATGATGATCAAACACCAATGAATTCGATTCATTCCGTTGGAATTTTGTTTTGCGGCAAATAACAACAACATGAGAAACAACAGTAACGCCACGATTCGAATCAAATCGATGCTTTGTATAAGCTCCACATGAACAAAGCGGTATTTAAATGATAATTTTTTTTTTTTGTGGTTTTCATTCTGTCTTTGCTTCGACGGGCTGTTGTCTTGGTATTGCCAAATTACGTCAATTGCCCCCACACACACAAGCCATACAATGCACTAAAGGTATTTTTGAATCGATTTTTTGGTGCCACCAATTCGAGCACAATCATTTCTCAACACATAATATATACTCAACTCATCGACGTCGTCGCCGTCGTCGTCGCATCGCCTTGTTACTGTTTGCCGTTCGCTTTCATATTTGCACGTACTGTATCACATTTGACATATCTATTATATTACATTTGCATATTTTAGCAAGACACACCGAACACAGTCTATTATACCTGCATGTAATATGTGTAATTCATAAGCATTCCTCATTTTTGTTTCAGTTATATTTATTTATTTATTTATTTCTAAATTTTATTAAATTAATGCGAAAGTAACAAACCTCAAACACACAAAATGGTGATTATGACGCCTGCTAAGCCGTTCGATGGAAAAATCAACAATTCTTGTGAAATATGCAAATAGAAGGCGATTTGAATGGCAACAAAAATAAAATGTAGGCATCAGACACAGAAAAATTAAAATGCCGATTGAAGACGAACGAACGTCAAAAAAAAAATCCGAATTATTCTTTTCCGGCTGCTTATATCTATGAATAAACGAATATTCATTATCAACGCAAAAACGTGATAAAAAAATGATTAAAGTAAAAGCAACTGAGAATGGAGAAAAAAATAATAAATAAATTTTACGTTTATTTATAATCGGTGCCATCGCATATGAAACAATAAAAAATGTATATTTATATATATATTTGTGTGTGTGTGTGTGTGTTTGTCGAAAAGGCGAATCTGCACGTTTCACTCCACGTGAATTCACTCTCGCCAAAACACGTTACTCATTATATGCTTGTTGAATTAATATTTATTTCTATCCAGCATGAATTTTCGAGATTCTTCTTTTAAATGTGTTTACACGAGAGAAAAAAAAACAACGGAAACAGCATTTCTCGAAAAACTATTTTCAGCCAACACACATTCACATGACAAATCTGAATGGGTGGGGATGAGGAAAGGATTGTTTGCCTCGAAACGAGAATAGAATGAGGTATGAGGCATTTTTTCTCAAATCCCGAATATTTTATTGGAAAAAAAACAAGCATCGGAAAAAAATGTACAACAGAAATAATATTGGTCAGTTTTCATGTAAGCACATTTTGTGGTTATGGAAATAAGTTTGAGTCCGTCTCGTGATTTATTATTCAAATCAATCAATCAATTAAAATGTTTACGATGATTTGGATGAGTGTGCATTTTTTTTGTGTCGTTTGTCGTTATTGTTGTGTTTTTTTTATCGAATCGCAAAAACGATTTTCTACCTGAAGTTTAAGTAATTGCGTCATATTTGTCACAACTCCTTTTCACTGGAACAGGCTAATAGTTTGACGAAGAACAAAGCATAAAAATAGCCGATGTGTCAATAAACACGTCACGTCACGTCTATTTTTGCTATCGCACCTCGCCCATTGAAAAACAGAAAAACATACATCAGATTTGTATTCCATTTGAATGCGCAATACCGACAATTAAACACGTTCATTTCATGCAAAAAAAAAAACAACTTCACATTATTCCGCGACGACCGGTGCGCTTGCCACCGTTTTTTTTTTTTTTCACTCTTCAATTTTAATTATCATCGCTCTAAAGTGCAACAACTAGAAATTCCACCGAAATACATCGAAGCACACAGTTAAAGGAAATAAAAAAAATTATGGATTCAACACAAGTGTTGAACATCAACAAATGTCAACATCGACCACGATGACAAGAATGAATCGCGTGATAGAAACGTGACGCAATAGACAAACCAAGGCCAATTGCTTGTGCTGTTGCTTGCATATGAAAAAAAAAAAAACGAAATATGTAATTGTATGAAATCACTTTGTTCAATGCACCCACATGCATGCTTTCGCAAACGCCGTTCATTCCTTATCATTTGGTTTTTTTCTCCATTTCACTATGCTTTGCTTTGCACTTCATATAACGAACGACAGACATAGAAATTGGTGAAAAAAAAGAATATATGTAGTATTGCAACAATGTGTGAAAGAGTAAAAAGGAAAGTATGAAATGAAGGAGACTCAATATTCATTGTTATTTGACTGAATGTTTAACTTTTCATAATGTTTTAAGC